CTTAACCAGCTTGCGCATGCAAAGCTCTGATCGTTGACACGCTCCAGACATCTGCGTCCTGAGCATGGCCACAGTAACATTATCAAATTAGGCGTCGCCACTTCAAAAACAAATTTAACACGAGATCGTTCATGTCGGCTCATTTCCTTTAATGTGTTCTGTCTTTTATTTGTGCCTGGTGCGTTTCGCTGCTGTGGAGTGGAGCGCATCACCTGTTTTGTCCTCGGTGATGCACCGCACTGGTGCAGCCGGCTCGCAGCGCACACTCCGCTGTTTTTGTGGTTGTTAGATCTTTTAGAACTGCAGCCAGGGCCAGATTAACACTTTGTTGTACCCTGGGCAACAATATTAAAGGGCCCCATCATCACGACCCAAGGATCACCATAATATGGTCACATACAGAATATTTTACTGTAATATGCAGTAAATATACTCAATACTTTGTAATAGTGTGATTAATTAAAGTGTAATTAATAGTATTAATAATATGAAATCCAAACTTAGAAAAGTAACTTGTGGAGTTCCGCAAGGATCTGTGTTGGGACCAAAGCGATTTTTACTTTATATAAATGATATTTGTACAGCTAGTGATATCTTAAAATATGTGATGTTTGCTGATGATACAAACTTATTTTGTTCTGGAGATAACATAAAGGAATTATTGAAAACAGTGGAAATAGAATTGATGAAGTTAAATAGATGGTTTGTATTTAATAAACTATCACTGGATGAAAGTAAAACAAAATTTATGTTGTTTGGAGGTATTAGGAGTAATATTGAAGTAAAACTGAATCTAAATAATGATGAAATTGAAAGAGTATATGAGACTACATTTTTAGAAGTAATAATTGATGATAAACTTCTTTGGAAGTCCCACATAGATCATGTGAAACGGAGATTATCTAAGTCTATTTCTATTCTTTTCGAAACAAGAGATTTATTTCACAAGAGCTGCCTTTATTTACTGTACACTTCCCTTTGCTTGCCTTATATGAGCTATTGTGTGGAAATTTGGGGGAAAACATACAAAACGTATCTGGATTCAATTTTTAAATTGCAAAAAAGAGCTATTAGAATAATAAATAAAGCTGGATATAGGGAGTCCACAAACCAATTTTTGTAGGATCAGCTAAGTTAAAATTTAAGGACATTATATATCTTAAAACTTTAGAAACGATGTACAGTGGGGCAAAAAAGTATTTAGTCAGCCACCGATTGTGCAAGTTCTCCCACTTAAAATGATGACAGAGGTCAGTAATTTACATCATAGGTACACTTCAACTGTGAGAGACAGAATGTGAAAAAAAATCCATGAATTCACATGGCAGGATTTTTAAAGAATTTATTTGTAAATCAGGGTGGAAAATAAGTATTTGGTCAATAACAAAAATTCAACTCAATACTTTGTAACATAACCTTTGTTGGCAATAACCAGAGGTGGAAAGAGTACAAAAATGTTGTACTTAAGTACAAGTATAATTACTTTCATGAAATTTTACTCAATTACAAGTAAAATTACCTGCCTCAAAATGTACTCAAGTAAAAGTAAAAAGTAGCTTATTTAAAATGTAGTCAGAGTAAAAGTTACTTAGTTACTTTTTTGACTGTGCAAGGACGGGCTCTTCTGAATAGTTAAAAAAAAGACAGTGGGGTATAAATGTCAAAGTGGCCGTTTTTTTAATTAAATGAACAAATATGCATATTGAAGTACAAAGGCAGTTACACTGCAAACTAGTAACATAAATTAGGTTATAGTCACAAGCCCATGACTTTTCCCTGAATGACCCCCCCGGCAGATCCTGATAGGCCTACCCAGTCTCTCAGCCTCTCCAGTAGCAGGTGATGGTCAACTGTGTCAAAGGCTGCAGTCAGGTCCAGCAGGACCAGAACTGAACAGTCCCCTTCATCACTGTGGGTCAGAAGGTCATTAGAGACCCTAAGAAGAGCTGTTTCAGTAGAATGAGCTCTACGAAAACCTGACTGGAAGCTATCATAGATGTTATGTTCATCAAGAGCAGCTGTGAGTTGTTTAGCCACAACCTTTTCCAAGATCTTGGAGATGAACGGAAGTTTGGAGATGGGTCTGAAGCTGCTATGGAGAGAGGGGTCGAGACTCGGTTTTTTAAGAAGTGGGTGGATTACAGCATTCTTAAAGTAAGCAGGGACCTAACCAGAAACCAGAGAAGCATTAATAATAGAGAACACGCTGGGACTGATGGACTGAAAAGCACTTTTAAACAAAGATGAGGGTAAGATGTCGAGGGGGCATGCAGAGGTCTTCATAGAGTTAACTAGTTTGGTTAACTCAGGCAAAGAAACAGGAGCAAAGCTATCTAGGATGATGGGCCTGGTTGGAGTCGGGAGAGGCGGCGATAAGGCTGAAGGAGAGATGCTAGATCTAACCTTATTGACTTAGTCCACAAAGAAAGACAGAAAGTTCTCAGTCTGTAACAGAGTGGATGGAGGCTATAGGAGAGGCAGGAGAGACGATGCTGCTGATGGTGTTAAACAGCACCTTGGGGTTCCCTTTGCTCTGGGACACCAGGTTGGAGAAATAGGAAACCCTTGCGTCACTGACTGCAGAGTTAAAGGATGTCAGAAGATCCTTTAGGTGCAGCAGATGGACGTGGAGATAGGTTTTCTTCCACAAATGCTCAATTTTTCTGCACTGGCTCTTCAGGCTGCGAAGGCTGTCATTAAACCAGGGAGTAGGGTTCACTGCAGGAACTGATCTGGTTCTGACCAGACGGGGTTATCTGGGGGAGGATTAAGCTTACCAGTTGGTTTTAGAGGTATGGTGTTGTAGCATCATGAATGTCCTGTTTTTGACCTAAAGGTCATGATCTGCTGCTGCATAAAGTCTATATCTATATGAGATAGTGGCCAAGGTCTTTCATGCACTCTGCTCATCTGAACTGCTTCACATCTGTTACAGCGAAGACAAGGACTATTTTGATAAACCCATAATCAACAACTTTGTTAATTACCAATAATAATGTGAGCTCAATGTTCAATCAATCTGTGAAATAACAATGTTATTACTTGATATTATAATCCTGTGATCAGTAGTATTTTACAAGTTATTATAATCCTGGACATTTGCACTAGACACGGATGACACGTAATGCTAAAGTCACACGACACATTTCCTTTTGTCTGACCCAATCAGAACCTTCGCTTCTGGCGTGGGGCGTGGTTATCTGTGGTGTTTGTATAAACCCTCTTTTGCATGTCAAATTCTGATTCACCAGTAAACCAAAATATGACAATTATAAAAACTATCCCACGCCACCTTTTCTTTAGTTCAAGCGTTCTAGAGTAGTCTCGGACAGGCCATCCGGACTTCCTCTTCAGCCATAAAGAACCTCAACAAGCTGGATAAAATCTGTTGCAAGTTACACCTGACCGCAACGGTTCCTTCAGAATAAAAGCTGAACCTCACGACCCCTTCAGGGTCTCGGAGACACCAGTGATAACCTGTCGTGACCTGGAAGCATTCCAAGACTAGTTTGGTCGGCACTGCTGCTTTTCTACTGGCTTCGTTTCCAAAGAAGGTCCAAGAGGACCTCGACATTCTGGATCTGATCGGAGGCTTCCCCTGGGGTACGTCGACTGACAGATGGCGTTTCATGTGTGTTAGAAATCTCCTACTAAAGTTTAGAGTGAAACAGTCACTCCCACTCTGAACTAACTGCTTCATCGGATCCGCTGGTTCTGATAATAACATTCCACACACACACCATCATCAGGCTGGTGACCATAACAGAGCTCTAATGTTTTTCATGAGCCGCGTCAACTCTGACAGGAAGTCAAACCAAAGCAGAAGAGACAGGGTGGTAAATTAAACAAAATAAAAGATACATTTCAAAATAAAACACTGCAAATGATAAATGTAATAATTTTTGTGTATCTAAACACAGAGATGAAAATGAACACACACACACACACACACACACACACACACACACACACACACACACACACACACACACACACACACACTCCTGCAGAGAAACACATCGTTTCCATAACTTTAGATGCAGTTTTAACAGCAAAAGATGGATTTAACCCTCCCACTGTCCTAATGGGTGTGATCCGCGAGGAAAGTTGACCATTGAGCAGGGTTGATGGTTTATCACTTGGGTCCGTGTGGCAGGGGTGATGAGTAAGCACCACCTCACCCCTGCCACGTGGACCTCAAGGGATAAACGATCAACCCTGCTCAATGGTCAACTTTCCTCGTGGGATCACCCATAAAGACAGTGGGAGGGTTAATAAATGTGAATACAAACAAACACACAGCAGCAGGATCAGTGCAGTTTCCGATATCAGCAAGCGGGGCAAACTGGTTACACACACACACACACACACACGCGCACACGCACACACACACACACACACACACACACACACACACACACACACACACACACACACACACACACACACACACACACACACACACACACACAGCAAGGACACGGGGGTGGGGTGGGTGGATTTGGAAAACAGTAGGCATAAGCAGAAGCTCCCGTTGAAAATCTCGCCTGATGTGAACAGAGGAGGAATGGACAGCGCACGAATTTCGTGAGCGATCCACTTCACGATGCTTTGCAGCTGGTATGTTACGGGCGTTACGCTGAATTGCCGGCACAGTGTGTCTTATAAAAGCAGCTTTTGTAGTTTCAGATGGTAGGTAGATGGTGTTTTAAAAGGTATAGAAAATATTCTACTAAAGTTCAGGATTATGTGTGGTGGATGTAGGGCCCCCAAAGTAGCTCTGGCCCATGGGCTAAAATGCTTCTAAATCCGGCCCTGGTTTTGGTAATGAGATAATCTACAAAAATAAAACTGGGGAAATAGATGTATTTCTAAATATTTCACAGAGATTGCGAAAGCTTGATTGGGATTGCAGACTCTGCTGTTCTGATCCGGCGTGGCGCTGATCTCCATCAGCTCTGTGCGTTTCTGTCACTTGTTGGGCTGAACGTCGACAGACCTGCTGGCTGCACGTGATGAACGGTGCGCGTCACCGGTGCGCTGTCGCTCGCCTGGAGACCGGAGCTCGGTTGACTGACACTGAGTGCAGCAGGCAGCTACTGTAAATAAAGAATAAAACCCAACAAACTGAAATAGACAGAGCAGTCGGCATCGGGTCAGCAGAGACAGCTTCTCTCGTTCATTCGCTGAATTCTCTCTTGGTGATTTTCATTCATTCTTTTTTTTTTCTCCCTCAGATTTGAGCTTGCCAAGAAAAAAGAGGGGGGAAACATGGCTGGTTTGATGGCAGGTTTTGGACACTACACTCACGCGCTCGTGCGGGGAGTCCCCGCGTCCCTGACCAGAGCGGCGCTCCGGATGCAGCCGACGGAGGTGGACCTGGACATGGCGCGGAGGGAGCACGAAGCCTACGTGGAGCTCCTGAGGGCGAGGCTTGGGCTGGAAGTGGTGGAGCTCCCCGCGGACGAGTCGCTCCCGGACTGCGTGTTCGTGGAGGACGCGGCCGTGGTGTGCGGGGAGACGGCGCTCATCACTAGACCCGGGGCTGAGAGCAGGAGGAGAGAGGTAGGAATGTGTCAGCATGATTCTACACCAAAAAAAAAAAAAAAAAAAAAAAAAAAAAAGTTTGATGTGAGGAGAAAGCATCCTCCCCTCCGGAGGATGCAGGGATGTTACAGAATATCACCCCTTAAACTAGATCGTGTCAGCTCCTTATTCAAATTAATTGTGGAAAACAGACTAGTCATTTTGTTGATGTTTGGCTGAATTGGCTCCAGGTTTGACAACGCCCCTTTCAAACAGCATTTTTGCTTAATAATCCATATTTTATGAAACTGCTGCACATAAAGCTGACAGGGTTTGAGTGTCTTCTTTTCCTTGATTTGTATTTTACTTCATAAAAATGTAAACTTCTGGCCTTGTTTGCATTAGATTGCTGATGAAGCATCCTAAAATTCAGCTGACAAAGTTTAAATTTAAAAAGAAGCTGTGATTCCTCATAAATTCCCTAAAAAGGATTTATTATGAGTGCAAATGGTTGTACTGTCCATGTGTGACATGTACTGAGGCAAAGGGAATGACGGATGTAGTGGAAGCCCCTGTCATGCCACATCAGAGTCACTTTACTTGGCTCACTGGTGCAAATGGTTCCCCCGCCTCACTGGCGGCAGCGATATTGACTGGAAAGCTCCGCTCAGCTACTCACATCATCACATATGACGCACATGGCGCAGGGGTTTTTGTCTTTTACATATAATCCCACACCAACAAAGCTCACATAACATTCTTTCACTTCTGCTGGGATTTTGTAACCAATCAGAAAAGGTTGATTAGCTTTATTGTCACTCTAGATTCCAGGAAGAAAACTTTGCAAAGTCTGCGATAGGTGCATAAATCATTTAAAATCAATCACTGATGAATGAATGCATGTGAGCAAAAATGCTGGTACCACAGAAGTGTTTGTAAAATTGTTACATGACACTTTTTATGCGATAAAGCGGGTTCATTGTTTTGCAAGAAATGGGTTGCTATTGTGCTTTTCATTTAACCCTCTCAGGCTCAAATAAGTTTTGATAAAAGGATGAAAAACTAAGTCCTTCAGGGGTACTTCTGAGTTAAAAAATGCTCATGAGATACGTGTGTGGAGTAACCAGGTAGGTAGGTTTTAACGTTGCTAATCTGCAACACCTGCCTCTAGAGGGTCAATGGGTTACATGGTCTGTGTGTGATATAGCGCCTTCTGGAGTTCTACAAACCCCCAAGGCGCTTTGCAACACATTCAGTCATTCACACACACATTCACACACTGGAGGTGTTGAGCTACATTGTACAGCTTCCCTGGGGCTCACTGACAGAGGCAAGGCTGCTGTACACAGGCGTTCTTCTGCAGCCAAGGAGGGCGAAGTGTTTTGCCCAAGGACACAAACACACATGAACAGGCTGAGCAGGGCTTGAACCTGCAACCTTCTGTTGACAGGGCGGACACCAAAGCCCTCTGCCACTGTCACACCAAGTCTGCATTGCTATTTTAAATCAAATGAGGTATTTATTATTATTATTATTATTATTGATTTAAAGTGATGGTTGGTTTAAAAAGCTCTAAAAATAAAAAAAAATAACCATCTAAATTGAGATTACAAATTTTCAGGTCAGAGGCGACAGATTATATTTATATTTAAAAACATTTTCACAGTAATTATATGTCCAATCACGGACTCATCTTCATGGAATTTACTGCTTTTATCTTTATTATTATTATTTTTTTGTTTAAAATCTCTCCCTCTCTGCCTCCGTCGCTGCTTTATTTCTTTATTTAAACACATACATCGGAACAGTTTGTGCTCGCTCCAAGATGACACTGGCTCACAAGTCTGGTCATGAAGACATAACATTACCACTGCAGGAAAAACAAATGTGGGCTTGTTATCAGAAAAGCTTCACATGCTGCCGGTGAAATCGTGAACTCTGTCCAAACCCTTTGGACTGTATAGGGGAAAAAACTCTAAATCTTTTGATAAGAATTTGTAAAAAAAAAAAAAAAAAGAAAAAAAAAGAGAAGTTGTCTGTGGGAGAAGTGGTGCAGGAGTGTGCTTATCTAAGTTAAAAGGGTTTAATTACATGTTGCCGTTGTAGGAGTTTTTTCTCCAGGTCAGGTTTTAACCAGGCCCTGAGATCTGCCTGAAACTCTTTAACTTATTTTCTATAATCCTTATGAGAAGTCAGTACAGGTTAATGAGTTACCTGATCTGATCTGAAGGTCTTCCCCATGGTTCCTCGATGGGTGGGATCTTTTAGAGCTGACGCTTTATGGACTTTTATGGCCAAGAACACGTGAAGCAATAAAGTGGAGGTCATTTGGCGTTAGCTGTTGTCTAAACTCCCATGTTTTTGTTGACTTCTCCAAATGCTGTTTTTTACAGGTGCTGGCCAGTAAATTAGAATATCATCAAAAGGTTGAAAATATTTCAGTAATTCCATTCAAAACGTGAAACTTGTACATTATATTCATGCAATGCACACAGACCAATGTATTTCCAATGTTCATTACATTTAAATTTGATATTCATAAGTGACAACTAATGAAAACTCCAAATTTGGTATCTCAAAAAATTAGAATATTCTGAAAAGGCTGAATATAGAAGACACCTGCTGCCACTCTAATCAGCTGATTTACTCAAAACACCTGCAAAGGCCTTTAAAAGGTCCCTCAGTCTTGTTTTGAAGGCACCACAATCATGGGGAAGACTTCTGACTTAACAGCTGTCCAAAAGACAATCATTGACACCTTGCACAAGGAGGGCAAGACACAAAAGGTGATTGCTAAAGAAGCTGGCTGTTCGCAGAGCTCTGTGTCCAAGCACATTAACAGACAGGCGAAGGGACGGAAAAAATGTGGTAGAAAAAAGTGTACAAGCTCTAGGGATAACCGCACCCTGCAGAGAATTGTGACGACAAACCCATTCAAAAATGTGGGGGAGATCCACAAAGAGTGGACTGCAGCTGGAGTCAGCGCTTCAAGAACCACCACGAGGAGACTCATGAAAGACATGGGATTCAGGTGTCGCATTCCGTGTGTCAAGCCACTCTTGAACAAGAAACAGCGCAAGAAGCGTCTCGCCTGGGCCAAGGACAAAAAGGACTGGACTGATGCTGAGTGGTCCAAAGTTATGTTTTCTGATGAAAGCAAGTTCTGCATTTCCTTTGGAAATCAAGGACCCAGAGTCTGGAGGAAGAGCGGAGAAGCACAGAATCCACGTTGCATGAGGTCCAGTGTAAAGTTTCCACCGTCAGTGATGGTGTGGGGTGCCATGTCATCTGCCGGTGTTGGCCCACTCTGTTTCCTGAGGTCCAGGGTCAATGCAGCCGTCTACCAGGAAGTTTTAGAGCACTTCATGCTTCCTGCTGCTGACCAACTTTATGGGGATGCAGACTTCACCTTTCAACAGGACTTGGCACCTGCACACAGTGCCAAAACCACCAGCACCTGGTTCAAGGACCATGGTATCCCTGTCCTTGATTGGCCAGCAAACTCGCCTGACCTTAACCCCATAGAAAATCTATGGGGTATTGTGAAGCGGAGGATGCAATACGCTAGACCCAACAATGCAGAGGAGCTGAAGACGACTATCAGAGCAACCTGGGCTCTCATAACACCTGAGCAGTGCCACAGACTGATCGAGTCCATGCCACGCCGCATTACTGCAGTTATTGAGGCAAAAGGAGCCCCGACTAAGTATTGAGTGCTATACATGCACATTCTTTTCATGTTCATTCTTTTCAGTTGGCCAACATTAGAGAAACAAACATTTTTTCATTGGCCTTTAGAATATTCTAATTTTCTGAGATACCAGATTTGATGTTTTCATTGGTTGTCACCTATAAATATCAAAATTAAACGTAATAAACATCGGAAATACATTGGTCTGTGTGCATTGCATGAATATAATGTACAAGTTTCACGTTTTGAATGGAATTACTGAAATATTTTCAACCTTTTGATGATATTCTAATTTACTGGCCAGCACCTGTATATCGGAGCTACTGTAACTGTATGCGAACCCTTTATGGTTCTGATCAATTAAAAAATGTTTAAAATAGGAAGTCATCTTGAGAATTGGTCGAAAATTGCTAGGCAGGGACACAACTTTATAACTTTAAAGCTCAACTTTACTCATATTTTTAAGACATTTGCAGTGGTCTCTAGTAGGGAAGTCGTCCTCTGGGGAAAAAAGCTCCGGCGCGCCTGTTTGGTAAGTCAGCTGGAGGAGAACCAGCTTCAGATGACAGGATTTGGATGCTTATTTCCTGATATTCAGACATCTCATCTCTGATTGGCTAACAGCAACATGACTCTACTACTGACTTTGTTTTGCAACGTTGATCTTTTATCTCCACAAATACCACAAGTCTGGAGGAGTTCTGCTGTGTGGTGGCATTGCTAATGCTAATGGCTAGCTTCTACTAGCCGAAACATTTTTTGCTGTTTCCTGGACGCTGAACCAACAACAGCCTTCCCCGTCGTGAGCCAAGATAGATGAGTCCGTGAATGTCAAGTGACGTTAGAGTGACGTAGTTCTGCCAGGCTTTTGAAATCCTAGAGTTCAGAATCAGAAGCAAATGCAGACGATAGGTGTAGGAGACTATTTTCATGTTTATCCTGCATGAAAAACTCAGAGTAACTGATTATTTTCAAAATTAATAAGTAAAATAGTTTCTCAGTGTACCTGCTCATTAATAAACATGAAATTCTGCCAGACCTCCTGATTACATGTCCACATATGTTTCAGTTGGTTACTTTTATTTTACCAAGAACGATCCCATTGAGATTCAATGCTGGCCAAAACATCAGCTAAAAAAGTTCAAAATAAAAGAAGTACGGCCCAAAAACAGACAACGTACATCAAGTACAAACAGTTTATAACCAGAACATTGCTTCCACTTGTTCACCTGCAGCACTTTGTTACCACTCACCTGCATCTGATAGTTTAGTACTCCTTTATTCTAGATTTGGACAGTGTCATTGTTGGTGAGCTCTTATTTTAAGATGACTGCAATTTAAACCGGAA